TAATTGCAATTTAGGAGTTTGAGGTTTTGAGAAAGAGATCCTCCTCTTATATCTCAAACGAATTAAACATATTACAACTAGAAATATATCGTGTCCGTAAAGAGAAGAATGCTCGTTTTATTAGATGTGTCTCGAAATGACACTCGCGTATCTTACGTTGAGATGAAATGTGAGTCGCCATAAATGTTGAATTTTATGCTCAATAAAATGCGCAATCGACAATAGCGTGATAATTGCAAATCAAGTGGAATCTCGAGATTCTCGGCGAGCGAGTAGATAATAGATTAAACGAGGTGTGTCGAAGAAAATTATAATCGAATGCAAAGCGAGGAAGACGAAGAGCGATAACAATGGACGAAGTTGACGACGCCGTTTTTCGACTACTTTGACGGATTTACGTAATCGGCTTCCATCTCTTCTGGCTGGTAGTGAGGACCGGCTTTTTCCCAACGTGCAGGGAATGAAAGGCCTTTTGTCACTTCGGGAGAAAGAATTAACATATTTTCATTTATAATCGTCATATCGAATGATAAAAAGATCAAACTTCTTGAAATGTTAGAACTTGAGTCAGGAAGTAAAGAAATCACGTTTTTTTCGTCGATTAAACAAGAGTTTGATATATTAGAATAAAGAAAATTGCTAAGTATACAGAAAAAAGAGAAGTTTTCCGCGACGTAATAAAGTAAAATGTTTTTTATCACAAAGATATACATTTCTACACAATATCTATAAAAATTAAAACAAACTTTTAATACCATTAGAGATTAAAACTTTCGAAGATAAAATTACATTTTCAAATTTTATTTAGTGGTTTTACACAATACACAAATAGAGTTGTTTTTTAGAATCTTAGGTTCTAAAACTATACATATGCCACACGGCAAAAACATTTCAATACGTATATAGAAATTGGTCGCTAAAAACCAATGTTTAGAAATGCTTGTGATGTTTTTGTCACGTTTTACGATTCTACCGTGTGCTCACCTCACTGCGTGCACATAGATAATAACAGATTACCATCTAATCATTTCTAATCTAATTTCGAGATAAGCTTCGTTCCGCAAGATGCATCAGTGCGCATCGCAGTGTAACGCACCAATTCCCAAAAATCGTTGCATATGTGCATATCAAATTGTGGCGTTTCGGAACGCATATGTGCGCCGCTCGAGCTGATCTCTCGTCTCGATCGGGTGTAGGTACAAGGATGACGGGACGTATTTATGTGCGCGACCGGAAGTGGCCGCAAGTCGACGATAGATAACAATAATCAAGCAGACGTGCGAGCAAAACCATGCGTCAAGTTCTAAAGTAAAATTGCATGTTACTCTGCACGCGGCAAAAGTGGAGTAAGAAGAACGAATATCATCGCATTAAATCCTTCGCGTTCTTCTCTTCAATTTTGCGCTATCTTCACTTTAACCTGTCTCTTCTTGACTCGACGAGCTTATGATCTTGATGACGCGCGTTTATGACACGCTAGAGACCCGAGCGATCTTTTCATTGATTATGAAGCAGCATGGTTTGAGAGAATAAGATTAATTTTTGGCATACAAGTTTGTTTTAATTGTATTCATTTCTTACCAACTGCGACAAATATTTTTTGATTTTCGAACATTAAATACTAAAAAAAGATTAAGATATTTATGCAAAAACTTCCGATATATATATTTTTTTTTTGTTTGACAATTTTAATTTCTTCGAAACAATTTTATTAAAACAACAAAAATTAACAAAATTTATCTTTTTGAATGCAAAAATGATATATATTTCATGAAAAAAATCTTGGAACAAAAATACTTTTAATTTGAACATATAACAAGAGCATTTTATCGGAAAATATTCAGAATTATCAATACGCGCGTCGATGTGTTATTCATGTCGGAATTGCCATTAACCGTTTATGATATATCATTTGAGAACCGCTTTGAAATGCGATGCTATTTTCACGCGACTGCGACTAAATATGTAGCCATTGTATCAATGACACAATGCAACAAAGATGCGTGTAACCCCGAGCATATCAAAACGATGTTGATCACAAAAAGTGATCAATAATTTCGTGTTCAAAAGCTTACTAATATTGTTTTTTATGTGTGTGTGTAAAGAAGAGTTTCTTTTATTTACATATATGTGTATAATATAAGTTAACCAAGCAATAAAAAAATGTATTAAGTGCATACTTTATTTGAAAAAATACTATTAAAATCCAATTTATATTAATAAATAAAATAATATATTTTTGATATACTTGCGAAGAAAAGACAATTGTAACTTCATAATGCACATAAAATTACAAGATGTATCGTATTTAATGTACATTATGTAGTTTTTGATTTTGCAGCATAAAATATGATTTATCTCCCGCTCCAACAAGATATATTAATGAAGCAAGCACGCAAAAGAGAAAGAGAAATTACAAGGGTGCGCGAAGAGAAACAGGAAAATGGATAGATGAGTAGCGGTTATCGTGTAACGCCAAGCTCATATCTTATCCCAGTCGAGCTTTTCTCGCAATTGCAACCACACGCGCACCGTTGCAATCCACCAACGCATGATTAGCACAGAGAGTTGCTATGAATAATTTTGTTTGCAAGTTAAACGAGAAACTATTCCTTTTTACGTATGCGCGAGCACCCACGTAAAGAAAAAAAGAATAGAAAAAAACTCCCGTGAAAAAGATGGAAAAGCCAAAGAACGTGTACTACGAAGGAACAGAGTATAATATAAAGAAAAATTAAACGATCTCGGTGGTGTGCGCAAACAATCACATTTCTTAATACGAGATTAAGACTATCGAACAAAACTTAATGAGAAAAGTGACGCGTCTGCCAATTACATGCCACGATCGTTTTCGTTCGATGCTTCATCTATCGCTCATAATTAATTTCTTCTATGGGAATTTGGCAAACCTATAATGAACTTGTTGCTATAGCAAAATGAATTTGCGCTAGAAGCAAGATCGAGTTGGAAGAAAAGTAAAAAAACGAAGAAAACCACTATGGGAGTAATAGCGTATTCAAAGCGAGAAGGAGGCGCGGGAGAAGACAGGTCGAGGCCGCACTTAATTATTGCTCACGTATACATATCTACGCGCCAATAGCGACTGGTGAGGTGGTACCGCGGAGCATCTTTTGTGTGAGATAATGAGAAGAATTCAATTAGTCTGCGGCTGGCACCTAATGCTTACCTACCGATTACAGTTCAGGTATGCGCCAAAAAAATAAACAATTTTTTTAAAAGTGTGCAAATAAAATGCTTGTATAGTAGATAGATGCTTGTATAATAGATAGATAATTATTTGTAAACTTTTTTCTTTATTAATATATACATCTTCTTTTAACATAAGTACGTAGAAATCTCGCATTCTTTTCTTTAAATTTTTTTCTTAAATTTTTTGTACACTTAATCGTAATTATATAAACATGTACTAACAAGTATAAATTTCTAATTTAGAGCAAAACTTTTGAAGTTCTCTGGAAGGGAGAAAGAAAGAGAGAGAAAAAAAGTTCTTATTTTGTTGAATATATATATATATATATATATATTAAAATTCTGTAAAACTTAAAGATTATTTTTCATAAAAGATCAAGAATATCTCTCTCAACGGCAAACATTCTCGATCGAGTTTCGAAACATTTACCGCGTTTATATATGCACGTGTATGAATAAATGTGAGAAAGCCAAAAAAGACGTCAATTAACGACTGAGAAATCTCTACTCTGACAATCTTCTAAATTTACCGAAAGAGATGATCCGATGTTTATTTAAAAAGCCGCAGGTCGATCGCGCGGCTATTTATATCACGTGTGTGCTCCGCGCCATTATATATATATATATATATATATGTTTAATTTTTTTGGTTTTTTTCTACTCTTTTATCTCCCATTTAGATTTACCTCTTTCCTTGCTTCGATTTTACCTTCATTTTAGCAGCTACCAGAATGCACCATCAGTTTGTCTTTGACACTCTAGTTGGAAATACAGTTTCTCGTAATTTCATAATCCACTCAGAGACTGTATTTAGATAGAAATCTAAATGTATAGAATATAATAATGCCAAAACATCGCGTAGAATCACAAAACAGAATAATGTACAAATTGTATTTCAAGGTTTTTTTTCAATCTATCATACTTGAATAACTCTTAATATTATGTTGCATTTAAATTAAAAATAAACAAAATAAACTTCTCAATAAGACAACTGTGACAAGAGTAGCTAAGACCGAGATAGCGCACATTTTATTGATTATAAGTTGATTTTATTAGACATTTATTACAGCACAATGCATAGATATATCAATGATTATTTGTTGTGTCTTTGCTATACATTCTGACACCGGTTAAACCGTAACACTAAAGTTTTGGTTGCTGCGTTAGCGGCCAATAGAGAATTTTTTGCCCGCAGATGATGCATGAGGCTATTAACGCCACAGACGCTCCTAAACTTTCACGGGATCGCGAAGTTCAAGAAGCTTTTTCCGGTTCTTACATCTAACTTTTTTAGTTCATTTTGTGCCGTGTAATTTATAAGAAAAGCGTGACACAAAGATAAACTGTGAACGTTGTTCTATAAAAAATTGCTTTGTGTCTATTTACACATTATATTATATTGTAGGCAGCTATTGTTTCAATAATGGTATTGCTATAAGAATTGATTTTAACAGCTATCAAAAATATTGAGAAAAATTAATATTTTTTTTACTTATTTTTTAAGACTTGGTTAGGAGGAGTGATTGTGTGCGTACGTGGGTTCGTTGTAGTACGTAATTAGATATAAGTTTAGCAAGTAGTTAGAGCAGAAAATAAGGTAAGAAGGCGAGAGTTAGACGAATAGGTAGTAGAGTAAGCTCAGGAAATAAAGGTAGGATAGGTGGTGAGTTAGGAAGGGAGATAAAGCAAGGAGAAAAGGTTGCCGAAAAGGTGAGGTTATGGCGGGAAGAGGTACAGAAACAAGCAGAGTGAGTAGGTTAGGGAAGAGTAGGAAGGAGGAAAATCAAAAGATGTTGGAATTCAAAGGAAATACAGAGAAGGAAAAGAAAAGTGTGGTTTTCGAAAGCGAAACGGCGGAAAAAGATAAGGGTAAAAGTACAAAGGAAGTGGAGAGTTTAGAAAAGATAAAAGCTGATTTAACGGATAGGCTAACAAGTGAAATAAACGAGTGGAAAAAAGAAAGAAATAGACAGATGGAAATAATAGAGGAATGGAAAAAGGAAAGAAAAAGGCAGAATGAAATAATGGAGGAATGGAAAAGAAAAGAAATGAATTGGGAAATAAGAATGAGAGTGATAGAAGAAAAATTTAGTGAGATAGAAAAGGAAATTAGAGACGTAAAAGAAAAGGTGGAAGAGGATGATAGCCACAGATCAGTGAGGAAAGAAGAAATAGACTGGAGAAGTAAAGTAGGAGGTAGTAGCTACGCAGGATCTGTCACGTCAGGGGTAAGCGTTGGTAGGCTAAGTGTAAGAGAGGTGGGAAAACTAAGAAACTGGATCTCGCACAAGGAAAAAGATGAGAGAAGGAACAATATAGTAATAAAAGGAATTAAAGACGCAAAGGAGTTAAAACAAATAAAGGAAGATCCAAAGAGGTGGGCAAGATTTTTCCTAAAAACGAAGTTAGGATTGGACAGTATGGTGGGGTGGGGAAGAGTGAGCAATCAAGTAATAATTGTAGGGCTGGACAGTGAAGAAGAAAAGAAAGAGGTGATGAGAAACAAGAATAAGTTAAAAGGTGAAAATATATTTATAGAGAACGATTTAACATGGGAGGAGAGAAAGATACAGGAAAGAATATCCAGATGGGCCAAGGAAAGGAGAGGAAAAGGTGAAGAAATAAAAATAGGTTTAGGTAAGGTTAGGATAGGAGGTACTTGGAAGCTATGGAGAGAAATTGAAAAGGAAATGGAGGAAGAAGAAGAAAGGACAAGTACAGAGGTTGGAAAAGAAAAGAGAGCAGTGGAGGGAGGAGAAAGAGGCGCGGAAAGCACAGGAGAGGAAAACTAAAGAGAGGCCAAGAAGAGGAGAAGGAGGAGAAAATGAACAAGAGGAAAGGTATACAAAAAAGAATGTTATTTTGGAATGTTGCAGGATTAGGAAGTCAGGACGTAGAGTTTTGGAATTTTATAAAAGAGTACGACTACATAGGATTATGTGAGACATGGCTAACAGAAAAAGGTTGGGAGAACATAAAGAACAGATTACCAGACTCACACCAGTGGGTGAGCAGCCATGCAATGAAGAAAAAAGGGAAAGGTAGAGCGATAGGAGGCATAGTCGTTGGAATAAGAAAAGATTGGAGAGGAAAGGAGTGGGAAAGGATGGAAACAGGATATGATAATATAATACATATGAGAACGAAAGAGGTAAATGAGAACCTGAATATTATAATAATGTATAACAACGGAAACAGTGGTAAAGAGGTTGGAGAAACAATCACAAAGGTAATGAAAGAATCTGAAAAGGAAAGATTAATTGTTGGAGGTGATTTTAATATTAGAATAGGAAATTTAGGAGGAGATGAAGGAGAAGGAGGAGTGGAGAGGAAAAGTAAGGACAAAATGATAGGTAACGGAGGTAGGAAATTCATAGATAGTATGATAGAAAACGGTTTGAATGTACTAAATGGTAGGACTAATGGGGATTGGGATGGAGAGTTTACCTATGTAGGAGCAAGGGGTAGTACAGTAATTGACTACGTGTTTGTAAATGAGCTTATAGTAGATAAGGTTACAGAATTCAAGGTTGAGGAGAGAGTGGACTCGGACCATATGCCGGTGTGTATGAAGATGGAAGAAATGGAAGAAACTGAAGAGGAAGAAGAAAGAGACGGCAGAAGAAAAATGAAGCNGAAAAAGCAAGAGAAGAAGGTAATTGAAAAAAAGAGGATATGTTGGGATCCAGAAGCAATAGAAAAATATAAAGCCAAAACAGAGGAAATAGGGTGGACCGAGGAGCAGGAAAGGATAAGCTTAGATAGGAAATGGAATAAGTTGAAGAACTTAGTACAGGAAGCGATGACAAAAAAAGTTTATAAAATAAAGAAAAGGAAGATAGGTCACAAGGACTGGTGGGACAAGAGCTGCACAAGGAGGAAAAGAGAGGTAAAGAAAACATATAGGAAATG